ATTCAACATGTTCAACGCTATTACAAACTATGCTGTTGTATGAAACTTGTATTGTTGTGAGTTGAAAATCTTTGTCAGGTGTCAACAAATGGAAATGGCGCCAATGACGCGATTTGACGGTAACTACATTGACAGCTAGGGCCATCTATGAGCAAATTCCGGTTTCATATTTACAGACCTAGTATACGACCTTAATCGATCACCCCATCCTCTCATCATCAGAAGAGATATGCGTTCTTGCTCTTAAAGACGTAGCATATTGACAAGCGAAAGAATTAATCAAACCGAATAAATTACGAGGGTAGTCCCAGAAGTTCCTGACCTGATATATAGATAGCGGTTGTTGTTTGAAAAGAATGACTATGGTAGAAAGTACCAACCTCATAAAGCTTAAGTTTGAAGTTTGACAACGCTACGTTGTTTAGTATTTGTTTGGCAGCCATCAATAGTGAACGTTCTCAGTGAATTTGTAAACATGGAAAAAATTGGTCATCGTTATGTGATACAATATTTTCATTTGAAAGGTTTCAGTCCAACCAATCAAAGCGGAGCTAGATTCTACTCTGGGGGAGTCTACTCCTTCGTTTACAACAGTAAATTATTGGGTGGCAGAGTTTAAACGAAGCCGTACGAGCTGCCAAGACGAACATCGCAGTGGTCGACCAAATGAAGTGACCACGCCAGAAATGGTGAAGAAAATCCACAAAATGGTATTGGATGACCGTCGACTGAAAGTGCGCGAGTTAGTAGACATGGTAAGTATTTTAAAAAGTGCTGTACATCGCATATTGACTGAAAATTTGGACATGAGAAAGCTGTGCGCAAGATGGATGCCGCGATTGGAACAAAAACAGCGTCGTGAGGATATTTCAATCAAGTGTTTGGCGAAGTGTCGCAGTAATAAAGCCGAGTTTTTGCGTCGATTCATAACTATGGATGAAACATAGGTCCATCACTTCACATCTGAGACGAAGGAACTGTGAAAACAATGGACCAAGGTGGCTTGATGGCTATTTTGAGGAACTCGACGATTCCCACTATAAACTGGGTATCGAAGCTATTGAACATCGCTGGGAAAAGTGTATTAAACTAAAAGGAGACTATGTAGAGAAATAAAGATATTTTTTCCTAAATTTTTTGTGTTTTCTTTGTTAGGTCAGGTACTTCTGGGACTACCCTCATAATACTTGGATCAATTCAAAGTTTTTCTAAAGATAATGCTGAAGAATAATAACTGAATGAAATGCAAGTGACGACAGCTAATGCTGTTTCTTAAGTTGCTTAAGAATTCGTTGCTCGAATTCGAAAATTGAAATATTTAATGTTCCTTTCACTTTGTGTTTTAAGGGAAAGTCGAAATCGCACAAGCATGCAATCTCCATACGGTACATCTTGGATAATGCTAATACCGGCAGTATTGTAACTTTTAAATCTTGTATCTCGCAAAATACTTAACGAAAAAGCATTCAGTTATAGTGTTTTGGAAAGCCCTCGAGATAACCTACAACAGGATGTTTACTCAAATCTGGAAAAAAAATTCCCTGACTTTCCCTGATTTTCCAGGCAATTTGTTAAAAATTCCAGGTCAAATAAAAGTGTTTTTTTAACCCTCCGCATGATTCGTAGATCTTTCAGGGAACAGTAAAATTTGATTAAATCAGAGGTGATGCCTGTAACTTTCATTTGAGGAAATGTTTTTAGGATTTCCTTAAATGAAATTTATAGTCCTCACCTCTCTAAATCAATCAAAGTTTACAGTAAATTCTAATTATTACTGTTTCCCAAAAATCTACGAATCAAGCAGAGGGTTAAGTGTCTTATAAATGAATATATATATTTATTGTGCAACTTGTTCTTATACCAGGTCAGTAAATATGAAACCGGAATTTGCCCATAGATGGCCCTAACTGTCAAGGTAGTTACCGTCAAATCGCGTCATTGACACCATTTCCATTTGTTGACATCTGACAAAGATTTTCAACTCACAACAATACAAGTTTCATACAACAGCATAGTTTGTAATAGCGTTGAACATGTCGAATTTTGTGCATGGAAGCTACGATTTGCGGACAGCATTGATTTTCTGTTACCATTTGAAGAAAACTGTTACAGAATCGCATCGAATGCTTGTCGAAGCTTATGGTGAGCATGCTCTTAGTAAATCACAGTGCTTTGAGTGGTTTAAAAAATTCAAACGTGGCGATTTTTACGTGAGAAACGAAGAACGTGGAAAACCACCGAAAAAGTTTGAAGACAGCGAATTGCAACCATTGTTGAATGAGGATGACGTTCAAACGCAACAACAACTCGCGGATCAATTAAATGTGACACGAGAAGCCGTCTCCATACGTTTGAAAGCCATGGGAAAGATTCAGAAGATGGGAAAATGAATTTCACATGGACTGAATGAAAGACAGCAGGAAAACCGAAAAACCACTTGCGAAATGCTGCTCGCCAGATACAAAAGAAAGTAATTTCTCCATCGAATTGTGACTGGCGATGAAAAGTGGATATATTTTGAGAATCCTAAGCGTAAAAGATCATGGGTAACTCCAGGCGAACCATCGACATCGACTGCAAGGCCAAATCGCTATGGACGGAAGACAATGCTCTGTGTTTGGTGGGATCAGAAGGTTTGGTGTGATATATTATGAGCTGCTAAAACCTGACGAAACCGTTCATACTGAACGCTACCGACAACAAATGATCGATTTGAATCAAGCTTTGCGTGAAAAACGATCAGAATATCAAAAAAGGCAACACAAAGTGATTTTGCTTCATGTTAATGTACCATCACACACAGCAAAACTGGTGAAGGAAACGATTGAGGCGTTTAGTTGGGAAATACTTTCGCATGCGGCTTACTCAACAGACTTGGCTCCGTCCTATTACTATTTATTTGCATCAATGGGACACGCACTTGCTGAGCAGCGCTTCACTTCTTACGAAAATGTATGAAAATGGCTCGATGATTGGTTTGCCTCAAAAAGCAACAGTTTTTTTGCCGTGGCATCCACAAATTGTCAGACAGGTGGGAAAAATGTATAGCTAGCGATGGGCAATACTTCGAATAAAATATTTTTTATCATTTTCATACAATAAACGTGTATTTTCTATACAAAAATTCCGGTTTTATATTTACATACCTGGTATTTTCGATTTATAAAAGTTCAAATAAAACATAAAATTTGTTATAATAAAATAAAAATTTGTTGATTCATAACAACGTAAATTACATTACCCAGCGAAAATATAATAAAAATTTTATTGCACTTTAATATTAAAGAAATTTTCGATTATTTTTTTAAAGTTGCAATTTGTTCTTGAAGCGCTTCTGCTTCTTTTTGCGCACTTTCAAAATTTATATATATTTCATTTCTAACTCCATTGCTTCTAAATTCTTTTTTCTTTTCAGAAACCTTTATTGTTCTGTTATTATAATATAAAAAAATTTTAAAAAGAGCAAATTCAAAAAAATTCCCTGAGTTTTCCTTGATTTTCCAGGTTTTTCCAGGCAGTAAATACCCTGTACAAGAATATGTAATGAAAAATAGAGGGTTCCATTTAAGAAATGTAAGATCACCTTCACGTGACCTTGACAACGCTATTCAAGGTCATACTGATTGCTATATAATTGTATTGCTATGTAATGCATTACTTGAAACCTTATAACTTTTGTTTAAAACATTTTTTTATAAAAATTATATTTTTCGATATATTTCGAGGTCCCGATACTTTTTCCTCACTCTGTATATAACATAACATATAAAAAAAAGTCTTCTTTTACAAAAGATAAACGAGCGAAAAAGACACAAAATGGACATATTTGATTAATAGAAAAGCCTGGCACAGATAAACGTAGTGATTATTGGAATAACTTTATGGTACGTACTCTAAAGAAATTCACCCTTCGAAAAATATCATAGAGTGTATAGAAATACGACAAATTCACTTTAAAACATTCTTTTCTGCTCTCCTGTTTTCCCTGTACGCGTATATTACTACAGATATACGTTGTATACAGAGTGTCCCATAAGCACACCAACTCCATAGGGGCGTAAAGCTAGACGAAAGGAACGGAAAAATCCTGTTCCATTTAGCAATATATCGTATAGTTTTTTAGTAATAACCGCGTAAAGTTTGGCGTTTGTCATCGCAGCCTATAGACGCTCCGCGGCGAGCTGTGTGCGTCTAGGCTGAGCGGTAACGTGGCTTGCGCTGGCCGCGCTGGTCACACGGCGTTAAAACGCCGAGACGCCATCGCGACGGTCAGCTCGAGACGCGTTATCGCTCAGTTTCGACGCATACAGCTCGCCGCGGAGTGTCTATAGGTCGTGATGGGCGTGACAAACGCCAAACTTTACGCAGTTATTAAAAACCTATACGAGATATCGCTAAATGGAAGAGGGCATTTTCGTTCCTCTCGTTTAGCTCTACGCCGCTATGGAGTTGGTGTGTTACAATTATGGGACACCCTGTGTACGTTGACACGTTGATATTAGTTAGCAGTCAAACTAATGTATCCGTTGGTTTTATGCAATCCAAAATCTGTAAGAGGATACTGGTTTATACTGGTTTATAAAAGTATCGGAATCGGCCAGAAGCGCGGTTTTCATACCTCTACGTTTCGTTGGTTTCGGGAATAGTCGGGAGTCAGGAGTAGTCGGGAGTTTCGAGATTCGGCAGTCTCGACCGAGACAGATCGAGCTCATTCCCGATAAGCTCCCGTCGCTTCTATCCCCTCCACTTATCGTGGGGCAGCAACAGCGACGGGAGTCGCCAGCGTGAGTAGAACAGCAAATTGCATGCCTCTAGTCATCATACTTCTGTCCCGCCTACCGTTTCCCGTACACTCATTGGCCCAGACGTTTCAATTAATAACTTAATAACTGCGATTTCGGCAAAATGGTACATGACTTTTCTTCTCAGTTTAATTTGATTAATCTTTACAATTTTTCTTTTCCAAAATATCCAGGATACTCTGTATATAGTCTACTAACCTGATAAATGTGATATCGTTTATGAAAACAATGATCGTCAGAGTTGCGTAGATGCGCGTGCGCCACGTGTATGTTGATTGGCAAGTGAGAAGGGAGGAAGGGAAGCACTGCTCTGCCGCTGTTTTCCCCGCCCAACACTGAATTGCGCCCAGTACTGGTTGACCATATAGACATCAGGCTTGATTCTTACACGGCTTTCTTCAGAGCTACAATACCAAAAAAATGGCAATAACGGTTATCTATATGTTTCTTTAAATGGACAAATAATTTAAAATATTTGTTCATAGAAAAAAATTGTCTACAGGAAAAAAATTTAGTACATATTTACAATAACGGACTACCCTTCCATGATCGTCATTGACATATATTGACATATATTATAGAACATATTGACATATATTATAGGACTAACCTTTCTGAATAACAATCAAAAGGTTTCAGCCGTCGTTCATTGTTTATTAAAAAGTTATAAATAAATGAAATTTTATAGATAAAGCCCATTTTCTTCAGACACAATGTACTTTAAACAATGTTAAATAGTACATATAAGCGGGAGAGAGGCTTCGCCCCTCCCCCGCACCCCCACTCCAAACAAATCCTAACCTAACTTAACTTATTGCATTTTTATATATTTTTGGACATTGTTGAAAAAGTTCTCTTAAGATCTATCACCTAGCCCAACTTAATTTATTATATTTGCATATAATTAGGTGTTGTAGGTTTTAAGATCTTTTCAACAACGCCCAACAATATGTAAATATACAATAAGTTGGGTTAGGATTTTTTGGGGAGGAGGTATGGGGCAAGAATCGAAACCTAGAAGGCCCTGCCCGCATACAGGGGGTCCTGAACAAGGTTATGGGAGTGATACGTAATTGCCACCCCCGACCCATCATAGTTGACCCGGGGATTTCAACACCCACGCCCCTGAATGGGAGTGTAATCCCCGGTAGACGGATCCCCGCGGTAAGGCCCTGGTCGATTGGGCAGCAGGACTCGGCCTCTTGTTGGTAAACAGAAGGCTGGCCAGCATCTGCGTGCGGCCGAAGGGGAGTCGATAATCGATCTGACGTGGGCGATCCCCTCGGCCGCTCGATTGTTTCGGGAGTGGGTGGTGGAGGAGGAGGCGGAAACGTTGTCGGACCACTAATATATTCCATCACAATATGATGAGAATGGGGTGGCGTACCATCTTGCTGCCACCACATTTTTGTCGTAGCAAGATCAACCTCTTTTAAAAGCTCAGATAACTTATTATGCAAGAAATAAAGGTAAGTTTCCCCATTTAAGCGGTTATCAAAAAAGTATGGACCAATCAAATATCCATTTACAATTCCGCACTAAGTATTTAAACTCCAACGGTGTTGATTAACAACATGTTGAGTCCTGTAAGAATTGTATGTGGACCAATAATGACAGTTATGCCTGCTGAGTAGTCCGTTCTTATGAAATGAAGCTTCGTCACTGAAGAGAACGTATTGGAAAAAAGTTAGATCTTCTCTTACCATTCGTAATGTCCAACGATAAAATTATCTTCTTAACCTCATATGATTTTCATTTACATCTTGAGTTAAAGTAATATGGTAGGAATGGAATTTATGTTTTTGTAAAATCCTCCACACGGTGATATAAAGAATTCCTAAATTACGTTGCAGTTCTCTAGTCGAAATATAAGGATTCAAGTTTACCATTGCTAGCACTGCTAATATACGCGTTTCACTAACGTCATCTTCATTTATTTACTTGCGGTTTCTTTTGCGGATTCTTCTAAGCTCTCGTAATAAAATTCTTCTTATCTGCATTGCATTTGGATGTCGTCTAAACGGATATCTATTACGATACAATCTTTTTTCTCTACAATAATTTCGTCCAGTTTTATCAAACTATCACAAAAATAACGATTTCATTTGAACTGTAATCGACCATTTTGAAAAAAAGCTTTGAAATAACTTTTTTATGTATGAAAAATTAATAGAAAAAGCTATATATATAAAAAAAGAGAAAAGCTCGTTCATTTGGACAAGATTGAACTCAATGCGCGTGAGCGTATGTTAAGCAGTGCAACTAAATCGCGCAAACGCGCGCGTGTGAGACTCCCGCACATACATTCATACATACATCTTGAATAACGCTATTGCCGGCGGTACTATAACTTTCAAACTCCATAACTCGAAAAGTACTCAACAAAAAATAACTTTATTATAGTGTTTTGAAAAGCTCTCGAGGTAAACCACAAGAATGTAATGAAATATAAGATGTTTCTTTATTTACAAAAACTGAAAAATAAGATGTTTCTTTATTTACAAAAACATTAATGACCTTGACGTGACTTTGACAAGGTCACTCAAGGTTAAGTCCATATTTCAATCATGTGTCTCTCTTTAAGCCATGTAACTTTCGTTCGAAAAATTTTTCAATAAAATCATCGGTCCGCGAGATAATCGATTATATCACTTAAAACAAAACCTTGTATGTGAGTTTTGTTAATTTACTGATTTTTGGAAATTTCAAAATCATCAAATTAACAAAAATCGGCGCTATTGTAACAATGTATTCTTGACACTAATAATGCAAGAAAGTCTAGTACCACTTTTTCTTCCGGCAAATAATTAGCGAGATATCGTAAGTTAAATATTGAAAAGGTTATCAAGTTTTTCTCAAATATCTCAAAAAATATTAGACAAATAAAAAAATGTTTTATACAAAAGTTGTTCAAATTAACTAGTAGAAAAAAACAATGTAATAAAAAATAAGGGTTCCCATTTTTAAAAATGCGAGTTGACCTTCAAACGACCTTGAAAATAGAGGTCAAGGTCAAAGTCAAGGTTAACATAAGGTAGCTCACTTAAATCCCTATAACTTTTATTTAGATCATTTTCCTTGAAACTTCAATACTGAAGAGCTATTTGGGATGGGACATTAAAAAGGGGACACGTGTATAACTGAATATGAGATGTGGCAATCAAGAAACCAGATGCATGCTCTAACCCTTTATTGAAAACAAATCAGACAATCGAAAAGTTATCCCCTTCAATGTAGTCCTCTCCCCGACCCCTACACCACTCCATGCGAATTTTCCACTGTTGGAAGCAGTGCTGCAGGTCATCTTGTGTTATGCTGTTCAAGAGTTGCGTCGTTTTTGCTTTCACTGCATCCACGGACTCGAACCTGGTTCCTTTGAGCGCAGACTTGACTTTCGGGAAGAGAAAAAAGTCGCACGGTGCTAGGTCCGGCAAGTACGGCGGATGTTCCATCATTGGAATGTTGTTTTTCGCCAAATACCTCTTCACAGATAGCGCGTTGTGGTAGATCAAGTGGTAGTATCAAGGTCAAGGTTGAAAACGTCATATCTGAACGTAAAATTTTTCGATCTTGACACTTTTAGGTCAAAAGTATGGATTTTCAGTCCTAAAAAAAAGTCCGGTTTGTCCTTAATAATAATCTTAACTCATAACCTTGAGAATAAGGGCAAGGTCACGGCTGAGTGTCCCTCGTTGACCTCTTCATTCTTATTTTTATGCGTAATATTGCTCCCTAGCAGGTGCATTTTCGCGTTTTCAGCCTAAAACAAGCTTAGACCTTTATGTGACCTTCAGAGGTCAAATTTGGCAGTGTTCAAGGTCATATCCGAATGTAAAATTTTCCGCTCTTTTCATTTCTGGGGTCGAAAGTGTGGGGTCCCATTTAAAAAAATTGACCTGACCTTGAAATGATCTTCAAGGTCATCGTCAAAGTCAAATCCAAGGTCACCGTCAGATAGCCAGGAAAAAATCATAAAAACCCAGTACTTCGCATTTTTTCTAGGACTCATATTTTTCGAATTATTCTGTTCTTCCCGGATTTTTATAACACCCTGTATATATATATATACACTCAAACGCAAAAAATCCGGTACACTAAAAATTTGGGAAAAAATTACAAAATTTTAAATGTTCATAACTTGGTAAATAATGAAGATACAAATATGCGCAGAAATGCAGAATGAAGCTTGGAACGTCCTCTTTAAGAATATCTGAATGGCAATTATGCTCGGCCATTTTTTTCAAAATGGCGGATGATAAAGTGAGAGGATGCAAAATTGATAATCAAAGGTCCGTGTTTGCGATGGTGCATGGTGTGCATCAGGTATCGCAGCGTAATGGGACCAAATGCACATGAAAGTATAGAGTGTTATCTTTAAAATGCTACTTTACCGAGCTCGATGTGATCATTTTTCATTGAGTTGTTCCAAATTTTGCTAAAAATGCGGTTTTCTTGTTAAATTTGCATAATTCAGTGAATAAGTATTGCATCAAGCTCTATAACGAAGTATTTTAAAGAAAACATTTTATACTTTTAGGTACTTTTCGTCCCATTGAGCTGCGACACTTACTTTGCTCCATGCGCCGTCGCACGCTCGAACCTTTTTTTAGCAACTTTTCATGTTCTCCTTTTTATCACCCGCCATTTTAAAAAAATATCGTTGCGCACAATTTCGAAAGATCTTTCGAAAAGTACGGTTTCAAAGCTTTCAAACCGTTTTTGAAATTTGCTGCTAGGATATTTAGGTGTCGAGATATTCAATTTCGAATTTGCAACAAATGTCGATTCAGCGAGGCTTAAGGGGCTAAGAGGCTCTGCGGTTCGTTTGGCTCTTTCATAATTTCAATAGCCGCGTTCATTATTCTCTATACAATAATTTACACAATTTTGCGAATTGGAAATTTAATTTTTATCAAAAATTATCATTCTTTACCCTTCAGTTACGCATGATCACTGTGGTATACACTTTAGTTCGCGAAGCTGTCCCTAGCTCTCTTTCTCCGTACGATTAGCCATTATGGTACACAGCTTGAATATGCTGTTCAGGATCGCGCCTGAGTTCGCGGTGACCCGGCGCGCGGGATGCCGAGTCGCTGGACGCCACCTGAACGTCGAAATTCCCTGGCGCTCCTAGTCCACGGAGCCGCCGCGACGCGGCGATCTGGGTTGTCGCGCGCGCGAGCCCCTCGGCTCGCACGCGAGTTCGAGCTGCCCAGGGCATATAAGAGTGCCCGCGGAGACGATCAGAGATTGCCTTCGTACAGCTTTTGGCCTTCGTATGGTCCACCGCCGATAGTGGCACTCTCTTGTACGCTGGACTTCGCGAGTTTGTCAGTACGCCGGGCTTACGTTCTGGCTTGACTGAGATGCTGTCGGTGCGCCGGGCTTTAACGCCTGGCTTGAC